CCCCAAAACCCCAAAACCCCAAAACCCCAAAACCCCTAGAATAAAAATCTCTTAGAATTAGGAATTTATGTAGTTTAATTAATTGATATCGTCAAATTAAGGCTTTCTTTAAGGTTGATCTATACTTTACGTCAAAATTCTAAACTCCAATGATCTCTATTGGCTCAGCGATTAGAGCATTTTGGGTAGCATTAGTAATTTTAACAGCTACATAATCACCAATTTTATACTTTGCTTAATTATTGATTACTACTCTTTTATTTGTATCAGTGAGCCCACTCAATTAGTGATCACCTTTTTTGCTGTGTCCATCAATCAGCATTAGATGAGTTAAACCTATATCCTCTTTTTATTTTATGAGTTGATTTCTCTTAAATGTATCAATCATTCTTATTAGCCTTTCCTTCTTAACATCTTCAGGTACATTATCTTTCATAGCTCTATGAGCATGCGTCTTTTCTCTCATTGAATAAGCAAATAAAAATCCCATATCAAATTTTACTTAGTCTAGAAGTGTTAAAGTGTCTTCGAATTCCTGTTCTGTCTCATCACAAAATCCACAAATAAAATCACTCGACAAAGCGACACCAGGTATCTTTTCTCTAGCATGATATATTAGGTCTAAATAAGCTTCTCTTGAATAGTTCCTCCTCATTCTCATCAACATATTAGTATTCCCACTCTAAGCTGGGAGATGTAGCTACTTACAGACATTTGCCTTAGAGCCAATTACTTCGAGAAGGGGATCAGGGAATTCCTTAGGATGAGGGGATGTGAATCTAAATCTAACTTCAGGGGCTATATCAGATACTCTATCCATTAGCTCAGCAAATCTTATACCACTCCCATCTCTCAACTTAAACATTTCATTGAATCCTTCAGAATTTATATGCCTTCCTTGTTGATATTATTCCATTCTAGCTTGTGAAGTCAAATCATGGTAGGAATTTACATTCTAACCTAATAGAGTTATTTCCTTAATTCCTTGATCTCTTAACAATTTAACTTCATCTTCAATTGATATGACTGGTCTGCTTCTTTCACGGCCTCTTGTGAAAGGTACAATACAAAAACTGCACATATTATTACACCCTCTCATAATTGAAATCCAAGCATGCAGCTTATTCTTGTCCTTTCTAACAGGAATGATGTCAGCATAGGTCTCATCAAAGGATAGTTGTACATTTATTGCCTATTCATCATTCTACTTCGATTCAATTATCTTTATAAGCCTTGGGAGATCTCTATAAGAGTCAGGGCCTGCAACTAGATCTACATTTTTATTTTCCAAAAACTTCTCCTTAAGTCTTTCAGCCATACAGCCTAAGACACCAATAATAGCATCCTTGTTATTCTTTTTGACCCCATGATAATGAGTGTCAATTTTATTCCAAATTTTTTTCTCTGCACCCTCCCTTATAGCGCAAGTATTAACAAGAACTACATCTGCCTATTGAGAATACATTACTTCTTAAATTTATTTGTTACTTTATTGATATTTTCAGATGCTTCAAAGCCAGCTGATTCGAGGATTGATTATACTATTTCAGTGTCAGCCACATTCATCTAACATCCGTGAGTCTCTATGAAATAAGTCTTGTTCTTATTATCTTCTCTCTAAATATGCAAGTATGATGGCAGTGTAGACTCGTCTATTTCCTCTTGCAGCTAAGACTATTTGTGTTCATTACCATCTTCATCTTATTGGAAATCATTTGTTTAGGTTTTTAAGAAATCTTTAAGATGAGGAATTTCCTCTATTGAACGCTTTTATCTGGTTGTTTCAGTGAATGACCTCTATTAAACAGGATGTATGAGCTTCAAGAGAGATTATTATTTCTTGGAGAGCTTCAATATTGATCTCATTTTACAATTATCAATAAATATTAATTAGCCATTAACATTTAAGATGACTGACTGATGGGGTTTTGGGGTTTTGGGG